GATCAACCCACTCATATACCTTTCCACGAACCTTTTCGACCATTCATGATCTTCATAAACGTTTTGAAGTAAATATTCTGAAGCTCAACTTTGGGTATCGTATTTTCATCAATCCTGTTTGAGTGGATTTTTGATGATCTTACGAGAAGGTTTATCATCCTCATCAACCTTTTCAAAGGGTTTATGAAAGTGCAACGTATAGCAAACCCTTTAAAGGTTTATGGACTTTATCAACCCTTTAATAAACGCTTTAGAGTGAGTTTTTGCGATGCATAAACCCCATGTTCATCCCTTTTTTTAGGGTTCATGGAAGGGTTTATGAGTCCTTAATAAACCCTTCAGAAGGGTTTGCTATACGTTGCACTTTCATAAACCCTTTTTTCGTTTTTTATTCTACGGATTTTTTTTTCAGTGTACTCTCTTACTGCCGATTCACTACCATTTCATGATCAAGTAACACGCCAAACAAACAACATCAAGAATTGCTTTATAACCCCACCAAACACATACAAGTGGAAGCTAATCACAGTAAAAGAAGTTAAATATCATATTAAACAACTTCGAAATAGCTCCACTGGTCCAGACAACATTCACAACAGATGTTTGAAAAATGCTTCAGAATTACTGATTAAACATTTAACCAACTTGTTCAACTTAATCCTGAAGTACGGTTATATTCCAACAAAGTGGAAAACAGCTTATATCATTCTTCTATTGAAACCGAAGAAAGACAAACAACAACCGTCTAGCTATCGATCGATTAGTCTCCTTAGTTGCTTAGGCAAACTACTGGAGAAAATAATCAAACAACGTCTAATGCTAGAACTTGAACGACGAAACATCTTACCACAACATAAAGCTGGCTTCAGACCAGGAAAAAGCACAATGTACAACATCGTGCGATTAGAACGATATGCTGAAGGACAACTAAGACGACCTAGTCGAAGACGTCACTCAGCTGTCATTCTTTTCGACATCAATGCTGCCTTTGATTCAGTATGGCACGATGGTTTGATATACAAATTAAATGATTATCGTCTTCCTCGTTACATCATTAATTATCTGGTCTCTTTCTTACAAAATAGAACTGCTGCAATTGAAATCGAAAATGTTTTATCTCGTCCATTCAATTTAAAGAGCGGTACTTCACAAGGATCTCCATTATCACCATTATTATATATTATATATACGGCAGATTCGATGAATGGAATACCGACTCATACAGAACATGGGTTATTCGCCGATGATACAGCACTATGGACTTCATCCAACACCATGACAAGTCTCTCATCCAGACTACAACAATCCATAGATGCATTTGAAAGTTGGTGCCAGTCATGGAAATTAAAATTGCAACCAACGAAAACAGAGCTGATTCACTTCAGCTTACATCCAAGAAAGAAGTACAAGCATCCAGTGGAAGTAACAGTTGGCAACATCATTATTCAATCACTGGAACATACAAGATACTTGGGTGTAATTATTGACAAAGGATTAAAGTGGCGAAGTCATCTCGATCATATCGAAACACGAATTGCTCCTCGGATCAGTCTTCTTCGGTATTTATCGAGAACAGCATATGAACCCAACAACAAGACGATGATAAACGTTTTCAAATCAATTGTACGCACAATCATCATTTATGGTCATCCTATTCTACTGACTGCTAATGATAAAGTATGGAAACGATTGCAGATCATGCAAAATAAAGCACTTCGAGCTGCACTCGGTCTACCCATATATACATCAGTAGAATATATTCACAAAATTAGTAATGTTCCGAAGATCAAGGATTATGCAACAACGTTGCTGCAAAAATCTATTCAAACAACAGCTTCGAACAAGGACATTACACTGAAAAATCATCTACAAGACATATTCGACAAGATTTAAAAATTCACCACCTACCATTCATTTTAATATTATCATCGAGAAACAAGAACATTGTTAAGTCAGCCGAATCTGTACAAAAATTGTTATATCGGATTCGCATACGACAAGATTGTTTCATATATACCAAGAAACGCAACAATGTTTTTGCTTATTCATTTTTTACTATTAATGTATTTCTTTTCTTCCTTGACTTCATTCTCATATATAATATGAAAGTGAGTCAAAGTATCGGCTTAATCATT